CAGATCTGATAGGAGTCTTAGAAACCGCAGGCAGGTGTTAAAACCCTTATTTATAGTCGTTACGTGTTTCGAGGGAACAATATCATGAAAATAGTAGATTTACATTATCAGCAAGTGCCAAAAAAAACTGTTTATGACAAATGAGATAGTTAAAAACTCGTGGCGTCTGCAGATCTTGTCGATAAGGAAAACGCTGAATTATATTCTGACAAAAATAAAACATATGGGTGTATTCTTCCACGAATTTAGAAAAACTTTACAATTTATGTTCGTTTGGGATGCTTGTCGAAATGTACAAAAATTTATGGTAATAAGGCAGTGTAGTTCTTCAAAGGTTTTTTTCAATTTTCTTTTTCCAGCGACTTCGGAGTCCACAGCATCTGGGAAATCTAGCTTTCCGTAGACTGCTGTGTCGTACCAAGCAGGGTTAAACCTCAATTTTTGCTTGCCGTGAACTCACTTGGGTTTAAATCAGATATTTCAGAATTAAAAGTGTGCGCAAGCGACGTGCTGTCGCGAAATACTGCCTTCTGTGCTCATACCACCTGCCCCGAGGCAAGAGTACGAGATTATTTCACATGATGTTTTTCCTTTGATGGGAACTTCCTCGTAGCATTTAGCCGTCGCCCTATTGTTCTAAGCTCCCTTTTTTTGTTACAAGCTATCAGAACACCATAAGCATTTTGCTCTTTCCTTAAGGTCGATGTTTCAACTCGTATTTAGTGCTCAATTCTTCGATCAGATGCAGTAATATTTTTTGTGTGACCTTGCTTAGCTTCGAACTGAATATATAAGATATGTGGTCTCCAGAACATTTATATTTAATCTCGAAGATAAGAGAGATGTTCTATCGAAGAGAACCAAAAAAAATTACAAAATAATGTTATTTAGAAAAAGGCTATAAGTAATTATGTGAGCAAAATCGTGACTCTCACATCGTTAAACTTACGCAAAAATCGCAATGGGAATTTATAGGTAATCGACGTTGCGACGTGTTGCATAAAGGCAAAAATACTATAATATTAAGTAAAATGTGGGGTAATTTAAACAGACAAAGAGATAGCCTTACCGTCTCACGTTAGGATGGTCTCTCTGGCAATACTTTACTGTAAACATACCCAGATACGCTTGTTTTCATACAAAGAGTGAAATAGCAATGCATCTTTTCTTCTTTCTTTCTTTAAGAATAAAGCATGGCTGATACAATGGGTTGCCAGTCTGCAATGGATATAGGTCAGCTTATATTGGCTGTTTTACCACGGGTACTATATATCTATAAACGATAAAATGAACAAAACATACAAAAATTAAAGCAAGACATGTATATATCCGATGATTAACCGCGAAATGGATCTTGTTCAGCGTAGTTTAAGAAATTCCAATCCATTAGGAACACGGTTGATTTAAAGATTGTCATAATCACCTATACATGCTCTGTTATTTTCGGAATTACAGGCTCATTCTTTGACAATCATTTTCGTCATCCTTTGTATCCGCATGTAAAGGATTCATTCTCAAAGCCTTTTTTCCCAAGAATGAAAGCAGTCGTCGGTTGTTTGAATCCCCTTCTTTCCTAAGAATCAGTTTAAAAGACATTCAATGTCTTCTTGATTTAATTTAATGTTTAACTCAATAATATAGATTTCGTTTTGTGTCCCCATAAAAGAACCCATAAATAGTTTAGAGTACACCGTGAAGTTTTTAAAAGAAATTGCTTAATGTGTATCAGACATATTGGTTTTTAAGGACTTGAAAATGAATAGATTGTTGCAGTACCCGAATCACTATGAAGAATAAATTGAATTTATTAAAAAGCGAAAACGTCGCTAGGGAGAACGATCATTAGTCAAGTTTAGCTTCGCGTGTAAGTAAATTGCGAGCAATCGAGCAGCTTCGGAGAAAGGTTTTGCACAGGGATTGATGTGATATTACTAAAGTAATAATTGGAACGTTTATTCCAAAATCCATGAAAATAAACGGTGAGAAGGTATGAACAATAGTTTATTAGCTGCCTTGGGTTTCTTTTTCTGAAATAACGGGAGTTTATTTTGGAATCTCTTTTGTGCTTTTACTTTAAAGCCGGATACCTGTCTCGCGCTCAAAAGTCAAATTGCAGTCACTTTATTCAACCAAAATACCAATCCGTGACTTAGTAAGGGCGGAAGGGGGTTTCAATAACAATAGTCTTTTTGGCGGGAAAGTAGGTGGACACCACGACAGTGTAGCGTGAGGGCACAGAGGTCTTTATGAACGAAAGTTCTCGATTATTTTTCCCGACCGATCGCTTTTCTTTCTTTAGAGATTAATTATATTTAAATGATAATCTACTCTGGTGCTAAATATACACAAAATCTTCTGCCATGAGCACAACAAACACAAAGAGACCACGTTTTACGAATAGCGCAAGAAGGTCGCTTCTTGCTTTGCTACAACAATTCCTCACCCGGCCCACGTAATTGCAATTCAGTCGAAGTTCGGCCATTGTCGCTTAGCGGCCTACGTGAAAAAACCGGGACTCACATACCGAGAGATTCTTATTCAAATATCGAATTGTTTTCTTGTCAACAAAGAACACTTTGCCGTGTTTGTAATATTAAAAGAGCTGGTTTGAGGTCGGAACAATGGATCGGAAATACTCAAATAGCAAATTTAAGCGGTCGTGTGTAGTCGCAAAATGTCTCACGGAAGCGTTTATGAGCATGCAAATAAAGTTTCATGACATCTCACAACTCGTAGTCCGCGATCTGTACCAATTACCTTAAATGATAACAAGCATATTTTAAGGGATACTAGCCCTGAAGAAAAAAAACGTAGGTGCTTTATATCTTTAACAAAGTAAGTAATTATATTAAAAATGTCGTATTTTTATTGTACAAAGCGATGACGATATCTTTAGCATTAAAAAGTTGCTTCTTATTACTGTCCTTTGAAGCACGCGGTTTTTATTATATTCTTTGTACGAACACATTCTAATCACTAAATTTCGTGGTAATTAATAATTGATCAAAGCCTCGACCCCAAATAACTAGGGAAAAATGAATATCTCTTGGCTCAGTGCAATGCTCATACCACCTTAGGCTAAAAAAAAAATTGAGACCGACAAAACTGGGAGTAATTGAAACTACTTTTAATGAAAAGCAAACTGATTTGTCTTTCAAGCCCACTCCGCGATTGGTATTTGAAATTTGCTCTCTTTCTGTTAACACAAATCCGAAAATCTTTGCTTTCGTTTGCCAAAATTTTTTATTTATATTGCTTGATCATTCGATCTCTGCCTGCGTACGTTCTCAGCTGATCGCCACTCCTCTCTTTATTTCTTTTCTTTTTGAGGAAAGTGAAAAATGAAATCAGTTTGAAAGTAGACAAGAATTTAGCCGTTATGTCGTGAGCTTCGGCATATTTGTAAACTTTTACTGTGCTAGCTGTCTAAAAAAGATTTTTTAAATTCACGAGAAACCAAATTAGACACATTATCTTATCTCTTTCGGATATCGTCTCGAATTTACAGATAAATTAGTTTTCTAAAGATTCATTTGGCGAATTAGTATAGTACATTTTTATTTCTGCGCAAAGGAAAACAATGCAATATTTATCAGGGATTTCAATAAGTAAAGTGAAAAAGTAATAAAATCGCCAAAAGTCGCCAACTCTTTGGCGACTGTAGAAACTTTGCAACATATCTCAGCTCCAAAGAGACATTTGCAGAATTCATTGAAGCTATAAAAATAATAACTATGCAAAAATGTTAATAGCACAATTTAGAAAATTTTATTAATTTCGAAGTAATCACCTCGCATACACGCAGCTGCCGCCAGAAACACAGAGTATATATTTTTGTACTTTATGCTTGTCACGCATAAAGAAAAACTCATTCACATTTGGCCTAGTTTGTACAAGGATTTCCTCTCACACTAGCAAAAGTTATTGGTATCTCTTAAGCCTTTCTTCGTACCATTAGAGCCATTGTGTTTTTGCAAGCAAAGTTGTCGTCAGTGATTAAGTGACTTCCTTTTCATTGCAAATGATGTGCGAACGTTTTTTCAAAGTTGTTTTGAAGTAACAATCAATTCAATACTTTTCGGTGATTAAGATGCCACTCGATATTTACGACTGCAAAATGTTAAAAAGCAGTTTATTCGCGATGTCATGAATTCTGCTACGTAGGAGGCCCTCAGTTAAATGCCACATAAAAACTCTTCAACGATCACACGCGGGCCGGTAATTATTTGAAAACCATACGAAAATGTTAGTTTTCTTTGAGAACAAAAGCTGTAAGCTAAACATGTTTGAGTAATTAGGGAAACGAAGAAACAGTCATGTGTAGAAAATGAATACAAAAGAGTTTGTCAAAGATCAAGGGGCTGTTATAGCTCGGCACGAGTCGTGTTTTTGTTCCTCACTGGTCGCTCTACAGGATCTTTTTTCATGGGGGAAGTGTGGGTCTGCCTCCCGCGTGTTTCGTGGAAACGCACACGGAAGGGGAAATCTAGCAAATATATTCCCTGCCCAGGGCAACACGACCTCGCAATTGAACTCTTTGGTCAAAAATGAAAGAAAAAATCACATTAATTCTGACGCCAAGATGTCGAACTCCATGCATCGTTCCCCGTGCAAAGCCTCGAGCTGGAGAAAGCAACTACTATCGATATAATTAACAATTAATATTTTATTAATCACGTTAATGACGATTCAGTTTCGTCTAATCACGGTCTATTTGAACAATTATTTGAAAGCCAAAATACTTCATCACAAACAAATGCTTCTTAATTAAGAGAATTACTGTTCGCGCTACATGGCCAGAGTGTGACATGGAGAGGAACCGGCTTGCGAAACGCGCTTGAAAATTCCTACTAATTACACACGTCGAGCACGAAACGCACTGGGGGCCGCTGGAAGATGGCGCTTTGAAAGGCGAAAAAATTATATTACGGGCGCTTAATTTGCCATGCTCTCATGTTCAATTAGCACAATTAAATATTAATATAAAGTGATTTGCTTACATGCTTTCTGATCCGGTGGTGACACCTGACATAATTTTATTAGAAAATAGCGGCACGGCGTGCGCTCATTGGCTAGCCGCGACTATAGATATTAAATCCAAGGTAATAAGCACTCTACAAAGAAGGCCGAAAGTTTGGCAGAATCGCAGAAGATTAGTAATGGAGCCACCGAACGACGCTCACGGTACGGCTAGAGCTCAGGGTTTGGATCATCGTGAAGACCATACTACGTCCTCTTTATTGGAGCTGGTTCCAAGTTTGGAGCATTCAATCGTTGGTATATTGAATCACAACGGCGAGCTAAATGATCAAGATTCAGGTAGGGGCTATCTTGTTAGGGTAACAAATCTTCGAAAATTTTGTACTCATCACTCACATTAACTCAGTATTATAAAAAATAAATTTTCTAATGACTTGAGTGAGAGCTCCTTCTAATTTAATTCACTTGATATATGCCTTAACAGATAGCGGCAAGAACGGCTGTATAGACGGCAAAGGCTCCCCAACTGAGCACAAGAGGATTGATACTGTTTCTCTAGATGATGAAGATAGAAAGGGCAGTGATACCCAAGGCGTCAAACAGAAGCGACATCGCACTCGATTTACTCCAGCCCAGCTGAACGAGCTCGAGAGATGCTTCGCTCGCACGCATTACCCCGACGTGTTTATGAGAGAAGATCTTGCAGCACGGATTGGACTGACAGAATCGCGAGTTCAGGTACAAATGTTAAAGACCGGCAATATATGATTAACTCGATATCAGTGGGAGAAAAATAGCAGTTTAAGGATCTTTTGGCATAATGAAGTTTATGTAACGGTTTGTTTTGAGATGAATAACAAAAACGCTCCTCCGTATAAATACCTCTTAATCTTTGGCACTTTTTTTCCAGCAACTTAGTCGTACAAAGCGGGCAGACGTTAGCTAGTTAGAGTTTAGTATCTGATTTCTGTTAAATGATAAAATCGTTTACGCCGCCACCAATTTTTTCCGGCTATAATGATATATTTGTATACTTTTCGCCCTAATCACTTTCACACTGCGGAAAGACTAGCACAAACCTTTCAATTCAAAGACGCTGTCTCGGGGAATTATGTCAGTAAGCGAGCAATATTTGCAAGAAGAAATCAAATTTTTATTGCTGCGAGGACGATTTATTATTTTTATCGCGGACACAACAAGAATTGCCTTTGTGGTATTAATTTGCTTTTTGTTTTGAGATACGCTTTACCGGTGGTCTTCAGCGAGCGAGAAATGGCACGTCCCTCGCGGCTAAATTTCTCGTCAAATGATTATAAACCGTGTGGAAAGATAGATGGGTTCGCAAACCGTGGGTTGTTCCTTTTGATTCCCTATTTCCCGAGCGCTTGACCGTTGGCGTGGCAGAACTCTCAGAGAGAAGGTAGACCACACATCTCTGAATGTACACAATGAATAGATTATTAAAAACATATTCAATAGCAATGGCCAAAATAAACCTATTGGAAATTCTAATGAAGCGAGCCAAACGGAAAGCCCTCTCGTGATTTTTAAAATTTATCTGCAAGCTATTATGTCTAAGAAGGGCAAGTGAATAATGGGTGCTGCTGAAATGGAAACTATTATCTCGAAACAGTGTGTTGCATTTGCCAACCGTAGTTGTGTTTACACCGGCGTAGAAATAATTACTTTCAAGTATTTTAGCAGAGTGGAGGTGTTCTTTTCTGTTTTGACTTTGCTGTCGGGGTAATTGGAAAGTTTTTCTTGCCTTCTTCTGATACTACATTAGAGTGTCGAAGCTTGTCAAATTTCGGTTATCGCAGATTCGATATTAAACGATGGAAATGAGGTACTACATCTCGCTTATAAACACCTGTTTCAATACATTCTGCGCGTTGATCGCGGACAGCTGAATTCTACTTTAGTTCTGAAAATTCCTTCTAGAAATATAAAGTGGTTTTTGGTTCTGGAAAAACAAAATGTTATCGATATCTGTGGTAAAGTTATATGTACTGTAACTTTGTAAACATAGCTTTATCTTCAAGGAAGGGAAAAAAACTTCTATAAACTATTCACTTTCACATTAAAAAGTACGTGAAATTGAAAAGTCACATGCAAGATATTAATTTGCCCCTGGAGCTAATAAATTCTGGACTACGTTTTGTCGAGCTTTTAGTTAGCTTCAGGTAGAGCTTTAAACATTTTTCATGAAGTCATTTTCCAGGAGAAACAGTGTTGCGTATTAGAAAGGCAGACAAGTACGGAGCTCGTTAGAGGAGAGAGTGATTTGAAAGACAAAGCAAAGACCGGTGTTTTTCAATATAATTAGAATACCTATAAAGGCGGGCGGGTTCGCTTAGCTCTCCTGTAATTACATTTTTCATTTCAGCGTGTTCTTGGTCGCATACTTATAAAGGACAGCGAACTTAAGAAGTGGATTACCTCAAAACCGCCTTAGAATTAAACCGTGCCGGGCATCAAAACCTGTTTACTTAGAAAAAATATTTGGCGTGGTTCAAAATCCGCTATTTTGAGCTACTTTGTACTGAGAAGTCTATTTTTGGTCACCAAGTCGTGTTTGGAAAACGCACTGATTTTTTTGGAGGATTCTTTTAGTGTAACCTTTCATTCGAATTTACACTTATGTTTTTGCTGGTTCTCCTCAGTGTAGTCAGTAATGAAATTAAAGATAATTACTGCAAAACCAGGGTTCGTATCTCTTTTGGTTACTCGTATTGTACTGAGCGATTGTTCGGAGAACTAAATGATTAGGAATACAAAGGAACCAGAGTCATAACCACAATTATGTTATTTTCGCGTCTCGCTGAACGACTACGGAATTAAAAAGTCACTAAAAACGTATTAGTATATGATGCTTGACTGTTATTCCTTGTTTTGTTCTAAATAGGTAGTTCAATAGATTGGTTCTTGGAAAAGACTTTTATAATTAGGGCCTCAATCTTGTCGTCGAAAGCAAAATGTTACGCTTAGATTACATGTACTCTGTGTTTGAACATAAAAAAAATTGTGTGGTGTATACGTTATCGCGAAGAAAAGACGCTTGTACTTTTGGGTAAGCAAATTGTTTTGAACAAGTCGTACTAAATTGAAAATATTAGCTCACTCCATGGGTGGTTAATTTTTAGGCGTGTCAAACCCGCGCTTCTGGCAATGACACAAGGGAGAGAACGACCCTGACCCCTAGAAAGAAAAACCTAAACAGTTTACTTAAATCTTAAGCTTCGTTGTAAAACTTAAATTAATCGTCAATTGTAAGGAAATACAACCAGAAAATATTAAATGTAACCTTAAATCACATTTCATTTAAAAATGACGCCTGTGCAGTTTAACTGCTATTGACACAAAAGTTTGTACCCCAAGAAACTCAACGCGGATTTGCGCACCTTAGCTGTGTTAAAGGGATTTGATTCACTGCGACAAGCCAGACACGCGGCGGTACGGAACACTGAGGCAATACCAAAATTATTTACCGGGATATATTCTGAACCATTGTACAAAATATTCTATAGCGGTCGGCACATTGGCGGCACAGATCCGTGTTTGCTTTAGAGGTATCGATAGGTTACGCCGGGTTGATCAAAGTGTAAAATGAAAACATCAAGTCTATTGTTTGCCTTTTCTGCTCGCTTAAAAAATAAAACCGAAATTTTTAAAATAGAAGTAAATCACTCCACTGTCGTCAAGGATTTGGGTATTTCCTTGGCTCTTTGTCTGGTCACTGCGCTACAAGTTATTGAAGGTTTAATGGCTTTATTAACGACGATTGGCGAGAAATCTCTTAAGCGGTGGATGTCAAAGATGGAATATTGTGAGAAAAGGGCCGGCTTCGCCAGCAAGAATGTTACTATATGTTCAGTTGGGGTTATTAAGTAGAAATCCTTTGTCGGCAAATAATAAAGCATGGTTTTTATTCTAACAAATCCGTGGCAAACGCAATCTTAAAACTAAAAACAAATTGAAGATAGATTGAATACGGATTGCAAATGGTACAAAAGTTTTTATGCCGGATTTAATACACCTTAGAAATACGTGCAACGTAAGAAAAAGTGTACATTTCCCTTTGCCAGCCCCGCGAAAAATGTTTACTTCACATATTTAAAGAATTATATTTTAAATTTAGCTAATAGTTTTCTTAATCATCAAAGCTAAACAGCTTCAAACAGAACAAAACTAGAAATAACTTTTATTTTGGTGGTGTATCATAAACCTGAGAGGAGATGCGTGTGAATTTTGCTAACAAAGCATTACCATATTTTCCATATTTTCGAAGAGAAATTTTGGACTCCGTTGAGGCTTAAATAAGGTTGTCTTGAAGTTTTCCATCGTTGCTTTTAAATATTTTGGAATAAAAAGAGAGTCTTGAAGTAAAAAAAGGAAATTTAAGGAAAGCCGACGGTGGACAGCATATGCTTGATTTTCTGTACCCAAGGCGGCAACCTGGTGCCGCTTTGTTAACTGAACGGGTACCAGGTCATGATAATTTTCGGACTATTCAAATCTTTGTAAAAATCACAGCTAAACCCGATACTTTTCTTCAGTGATAAGGTTTTTCTGAGAAATCTTTAGTCATAGCTATTCAAGAAGCAGCTGCGAGTTTTGAGAAATCTTTGGGAACTTCAGGAAATAAATTACGTGGGGTTAGTCAATTTCCTCGGGTATACCTCAAACAATTATTTTCAATCGATACGACTACCTGCTAGTTTCTTATTTCATCGGTTTTTAGCTGGAGGAAGAGTCGTGTTGTATACATGTGCTTTTTATACAAACAAAAGTATCATTTTAATAGTACACTTTGTTAGCGACTTAAGAAGCAATTGGGTTTACGGGGGGCTCGCCAATTTCTTTCAGTGTGATTTTAAAGAGATACCTCTTTCAAACGATACAATAAGGTACTTTCATGTATTTTTTGTAAAGTTATTTTTTAGGTGAGATAAGAAGTTGTGTTATACATGTGCGTTTTTCTTTATACAAACAAGTGTATCATTTTAACTGTTAACATTCCCAACGGACAGTTAGTTTCTTTCCCGTTAAATTGGTGCCTTGTCTTATTGATAGAAAAAGTTAACATTCAACATTTTTTTCGAATTCCTCAGACCTAGGTTTTTGTTATTAATGTAAGCAATTTCTCCTTCCAATTCGAGTATTTTGCTTTCTTATTTTTGCTGGTTAGGCACAATGCAAACTTCATCAAAATTAGCATTTTTTGTGTTTGCACATAAAACTAAACAACCAAGATTTGTCGGCGAAGTAAAAGCTTACTCACTTCTGTTTTGGCTCTATTCAACATAGGAGAAAAACACTTTATTTATTAAAAAAGTGACGAGGGTGACTTTAACAATGATTGAGATACTTCATTCTTTGTTTTAGTGTCTCTAGAGTAGGGGAAAAAAAAGAATATAACGTTTAGTTTGTTGTAATACCCGAGCTTGTTAAATTTCAAGTGACTTCTTGTAAAATGCGAAATAATTGTTTGCAAATCGACATAATCATTTTCCGACAATGCCGCGAAGAAGATTAATTAAAAACTTCACTCGTATGTTTAAACAGCTTTCTGGGAACAAATTTTGTCAGCCCTGGTTTCCTCTCCTACGTAGAACGCTCTCTGAGTGTAGGAAAATAGCAATTTGATTTCGCTATCAGAGGCTATCTACGAAGAACAATCGTTCATCCTGCGTATTCAGAATGCAATTAACAGTATTCAATCTCAATTTCCACTTAGATTGCCTCGTCCACAAAGGTGTGGTTTCTGTCCTTTTTTTAAATTAACTTTTTCACTGCGAAGCATTTTTTAAAACCCAAGGCTATTTTTATTGTACGTCGCATTTTTCCCAAAAGAAGGGATTCATAGTTTTAGTATGTTAAAAATTTCTTATCAATTTGTTAGTTAATAGTCTCCTTCAGGAGTTTGCGCAACTTATAAACAAATTGGGGCATGTTTTACTTTTGTATTCGTTGATGTTCGACTTCGATTAAGCCACTGATGCTGTATGTTTTGCCAATGAAGTGAATATACAGTAACTTTGAATTGTGAAAACATGCGCTAACATTTCGCAAATCATGATGCAGTATTTACGTTGTAAAAGTGGCCTTCAGCCAAGTGATCTTTCATCGAGGGGAAACATCGTCAAAATAATTTATTCGCCGCAGGTAGTATCTACAAATGGCTACGCTGAAAGCGGACAGTACCGAAGACGAGAAATCGTTAATAAGTTCAAAATTTTGGATGAATTTACCCCCATTAAGGTAGCACTTTATTAAGAGAAATTTTCATGAAGATATTTGACATTAGGTCTCTCGAAGAACACGTTCTGTGCATAATATGAAGAATAGTCGTTGAGATGGAAATGTCTAACTCTTTCAATTTAAGTTAAACTGAAAATAAACAAATAATAGATATACAAGAAGTATAAACTTAAGTGTTCGGCAAAGTCTTGAATTCTGAACGTCTTTAAATTTGCAACGCAGTTTTTCGAAACTGAAAAAAGTCTGGTAAATGGAGAGAAAATCTGGAAAAATGGTAAAAAAATTGAAGTTTTTCTTAAGCTACAACAAGTACTTTGTAAGTGAACTTTTTCCCGTGGTCAAATCTCCTTCAGTCTTGCCCGTAACATAGAATGTTACGGGCATTTTTCTCGTAGAATGAGAAGTTTCAGAACTCTCTATGTCTGCATTGCACCCTGATAACTTTACGTTTGCAGTACATCAAGAGAAAAGATTGGTTCTGATAGTTTCCTTTCAATGTTTGTGTTGATCATATATTTGAGAACCTTGAGTCCAAAAAGACTGAAATTATTGTTCTGGAAAAAAATCTTGAAGTTTGGATCCAAAAATCTGTACGCACCCTGGTTGAGGAAATATGTCATGTAATAAGTACAAGTTCTAGTTGTTTGGAGATACATATAGTGTGAAAATCCATGTAAAGCTATCGCAGAAGAACCTCTACATTGTGATATATGAGTTATTTTTCACTGAGCTTTTCTTCTCAAAACATAGCCGGTTGTATTGTTGTTGTTGTTTTTTTTTTCTTCTAATTTTTTATATTTGGAGCCCTTGGGAAGAAACGTTTTTTCTTACTGATCAATTTTAGCTGAGGCATAACAAGTCGGTCTTACTTTTGAGCCCGTTTAAGGAATCCTGTTTTTATGATCAATCAAATAAAACCCTTCCAGTGATACTGTTACGTGGATCTATTTGTTTTACAACATATAGCAGGACAACAAGAAGGATTTTTTTTGCGAATGTTTATTTGCAGGTACTTGAGGTAGTGATAATATTATTGTGTAGTCGAATGCCGTTTCCCTCTTATGTCCCATTCACGCTAACAAAGCTGGCATATTTTATCAAACTCGACCTTTTTAAAAAAGTAAGAAAATAAGTGGGAGAAGACTGGGTTTTATACAGGATTCGGCAAATCAGCGTTAACTTGTGCCTTCAAAAATATATATATATATCATTTTAAAACGGTGTGGATAGGGAATAAGTCAAAATGATATGGACCTTACAACGGCGTCTCCTTGGTACAACGGAAGGGTCAATCTGTCCTGTGCGTTTCAAGGAGACACCTGTGGGTCACCCATCCCGACCAAATGACCATCACCATCACCATCTGTAACCTTGAAAGTTACTTAGCTATGGTTTCTTTGAAAAGACAAGCCGACTGATCATCATGTTTTTCCCTTGTAGGTTTGGTTCCAAAATCGTCGAGCAAAATGGAAAAAACGCAAGAAGACGGCGGCTATTCTCCGTCCTCCAGCGCCCATTCTGCCTTCCCACATGGCACAGGCATATAATCCAAGCCCCATAGCGGACTCCCTATGTACCTTCCACAATGACCACAGGTGGCCCACCACAGTAGGCACAGCCATGCCAACAATGGCACCAGTTACCACTCCTTCTCTACCGCTATCGCCCCCGCACCATCCATTCGCACAGACTGGGCACGATGTACTCCAGCAATCGTATTCACACCAGTCGTCTATGCCTCGGTCGCATCTGAGCATGTCCATTCAACAACAAGGGAACTCGCCAGCTCAGCCAACCTTTCAACAACCGTTCGTTGGCACCAGAGAGATGCCAATATCGTCGTCGCCATCTCTTCAAGATATTCAATGCAGTATTCCTAATGGTGGAGAGTTATGGCGGGGCTCGAGTATAGCGTCTTTAAGAAGAAAAGCACTTGAACATAAGGCCGCATTTACGTATAGATAAGTGGTATGCCAGTACAGTTACGGCGTTGGGTCAACGCCTAGACTTTCAACCAGCGAGATAAATCGATATACTTACTTTACGCTTATGCTCCATCCACCTACAATGAAAAATTTTACATGTAACATATTAGTGAAATAATCAGTACAGAAGAAAGCTTATTAGGTCGTCCTATCAGTCGTTCTGCTTTATTCGCTAAAGAGATTTTAAAATTAGAAATTACCTGGTTTAAGTGAAAACGTATTTGTCTCCTTCTTTTTTAAAAAAACTTTCTCTCTAATTTTGGAACTTCCCGAACGTAAAAGATCTTTGACTTGTAGAAAAAGTTTATTGAACAATAATTTGCCGTGTTATGCCATATATTGACCAGAGAGCAAACTTTCAATAGATTGAAATGGACAATTTGGGAAACATCAGGAAACTTGCCAATCAAGGTGTAGAACTGGATGGACTGGTGCTTTGATCTATGAAGAGAGGATAAAGAGACCCCTCTGACTCGTCATCCAACACACACTGAAATCATTTTGAATGTAGCACGTCCCATTTGTACGTTTTAATCGTTCTTTTTTTCTTGGTTCGTTTCCAAGTTCAGTTATAGTGTTTTTTTCAGTGATGTTAAACAGGCCTTTGGACCATAACAAAAATATTGGACATACAAACAGGTTCATTCTTCCTGAATCCTGGGTACGCTGGGCACAATAATAAGAGAAAAATCGGGTAAGACCATTGATGCTAATAATCCAGTCAAATTTGCTTTAAATTTGTGACCTCGTTTAAAGTTTTTGTAGAAACCATCATTTCCAGCGTAGTATATCACTCTTGCATCACTATAGGGAAAAAATAAATCACGAACTATTTAAGGGTTTGACGCAAATTGATCAAAGCAGCTGTCAAAAGTTAATCAAAAGTTAATTATCAAGTACGAAGTGCAACGAAAACTTAATCGAAAGGTCTTTACTACATGGTGTGGACTCCTCACGTGGTGCAGTTCTGTTTCATCAGTAAATTACTGTTTCAGCGTCAAAAGATGCCAGAAGACCTGCACTAGAGTAAGCGTTAAATTGCGTTTAAATCTTTTCGCCAGGTTATTGAGAAAATTATTTCTGTTTTGAAAAATATTTTTTGAACACATACGTAATTTTGCAATTGAGTTTCATTTTATATTATGTAAGTTATAAACGTTTATTTGGAAGATAGATTGCTTTCTTTTTTAACCAGCTGAAGAACCCACGAAAGCAAGAAATTACATTCATAGTTTCCTTGTTGGAAACTTTCTACACACGATTGATTTGCTGTTGTGTTCAATGAAATGTAGTCATGTTTTCCCCTTGATATCTTTTACGGTCCAAGTTGAAGAAATATTGTGATACTAGGGGGAAAACATGACTACATTTCATTGAATACAACAGCAAATCAATAGTGTGTAGAAAGTAGGAATTTATTTACCTTCTGTAGAAGAAAAGGGTAGTGGTTAATCAATTTTTAAACGTTTCGTTGAATTTTGAATTTTAAGTTACCGTCTTTGTAAATTTTCTTATGAATTTTTAGTTTTGATCAACAACGCCTACAGCAACAGAATCAAGTAAAAGAACGTAGAAGTCGACGTTTTTAAGTTTCCTTATGCAATTTTCAATTCATGAAATGGGGGGAATGTACTTTGATCGACATTCTTTTCTTAAGCTTTGATGCTAGTCCTGGTAACATCCTGATCCGTCGAAAAAGCGCTATAAGTTTACATAGAAAGCTCACCGAGTGTTCAGAGAAACCCACAGCCCTCTGGTTTTAATTATCTATCTTCTAGCCAGTACAACCATTTTGATCTCTATTTTCCACTCCGTTGGGTTTAAAATTAATCTTTCCACTAGAATAAACTAATGAAAATATGGAAATGTCCTCTTAAGTCTAGATGTGGGTTAAGCGTTTCGAACGACAATTTTACCAAAATTGATTGTTTCACTTGGAATCTGACGCGCCGGCAACAGAAAGTTTGACCTTTGTTTGGCATTTGTTTTTTAAAAAAGTATTCTAAATTTTGCTCTAAAGGCCTTGAATTTTTTCTGGAAAACGTTAACGTTAAACGTACGTGGCAATTTACACATAATCATCAAAATATTTCAATCACATGTTAAAACAACGACAAAAGGAGCATCTTCTTGCATTTACGTAATTTCGTAATAATAATAATAATTGTAAAGTAGCCGAAGACTCGTTAGGATTGGTACAACACAATGCATAATTTTATTGTTATTTATGATATAGTAGAGTGACTATTTATGTTCTTTTCATTAATAAGCAGCTTGTGATATGATCACAACTTAATTCGGGGGTGGAATCATGCCCGCGGGCTATGATTTGATTGAGGACCCCGCGGTTTGCCAAAGACTCAACGCGTAGTAAGGCCAAATGGGCAGCCAGCATGTAATTACTATATGGAGACCGATCTTAAATAAAGCTTGATGACCCGAAGATTACTGGCTTTGTGTAAAGGCTTAACGTCAATCCCGAGAGATATTTTTGCCAATTTTCTTAGAGGAATGGACTGAATCCCTGTAGCTAAATATACATATAATGTTGCTCCTAAAACGCATCGACAATTTCCTTAACGCTCACTTTCCGTTGTTAAAATAGCTTGACGTGAGTAGAAAAGAAATTTGGAAAAAATAGACCAAAAAATTCCCTTTTTGGTAAAACGGATCATGATTCATGATGATTCACCAACACACATATTTAGGCTGGAAGTTTCTCTTTGTTAAATATAGCTTCATCACGTTAGACTGAGGGGTCTCCCGCATGAGTTAGCGGGTCGGTCGGTTTTAAAAGCCAATCTAACGAAACACGAGCGTAACAAAATCCACGCAATATATCGCTTTTCAAAACACGTTCATGAGGCGCTCGAAATTGCAATTCAAAAAGCTTGTTTATTTTTCAAATCTCTTCATCCAAACAAACCCCTCTTACTCAAAGTTCAAAGCTCCAGTCAAATTGCAAATCCAATCACAATCGTTTCGAAAGAAGCTAGAGATTTCATCAAGCCCCCTTTTTTATTTAATTTTATTACCTTTGGCGGCAAAGCAGTCCTACCTAGTCAGTGTCCCAGAACTGTCAAATGAATAAAGACTTTAACAAGAACCTTAATTAAAATTGATTTTAATTTCCTTCAACTCTAAAGGCCGCTACTATAGCTACACCCTCATTCTTTAAACTATCTGTTAATGAAAAAGGTAGGGAACACAATGATAAAGACAATGGGTCGATTTTCCAATTTAATAGGAAAATAAATTGCATTTGCGCCTTGGCAATAAATAGCACGCGCTCAATTTATAAGGCAATGCTAGAAAAGAGATTGGAAAAAGAGATTGTACGACCTGAAAAAGAACTGGTTATCATAGAAATGTATGATTATGTTGTTGGATTGTATTTCTTGATCATTATTTCGGTACAGTTTATCCAAGATCTTGATAAACAGACGCGCTGTTCCGCTCTCGGAAATCGGTGGGAGGAAAATGAGAGCAAGTCGAACAGTGAAAACGCTGTCGTCAGTTCATTCAAAAGATCAAAGACCTTCGCGGCTTTTAGGGAATTTCTGCTTTAATTCACCAATTGAAAAGTAAGCCGAGATTTATTAGATTTTTCACTTATTTTACACGTGCCATCCAGATTCTGAACGTGCGCAGTTCACTTGACGACCGATTTCCTTCGAGACCGTTAACTTTACTTAACGATTTCAACTTTATTACTATCAGAGGATTACCACGTCTTGCAGTTAATAACCATTAATTACAAGCACATTAGGCTAAGTTTAAGCTAATTCCGATGACTTGCGCGTAAGTAAAAACCGTATGTCTTACCGTCTTAACCTACAAGCAAGGTTGGTCATTCTCAGATCATTCAATGAATAGGTGGATATTTCTTTATGTCGTGCGCGCCGAACACCTTTTCCGTCCAATATCCCTTTGTAGTATGTTTATAGTCCTGTGATTAAAGTAAATCACTTAAACAGCAAACACTGATCACACGCAAGCAAAACTCATGCACTTAATTATTCAGTTTCTTTAAATGTTTGAAAACCAATATTGAGCTTACAAACCGCGCTTCCTTGGTTTGCTTGGTGGGGCGGAATCACTAGGTCTGTGCTGAATGAAATAATAAAAAAAGAAGAAGAGGAACGTACCGGCCTGAACATCTCTCAGATATTACAATTTATAATCGTCGACATGAATAAGGCAGAGTACATGCCAAAGCTTCTCTTAAAAGTATATGACATTTATTATAATTTAATTTCTTTTCTGTCCATTTTGCTAACGCCTTTAGTCACTGCTACGTTCCATCTAACATAGAAACAGTTGAATACGAAATGAAAGCATCGTGATTATTTATTGTCAATCAAAATAAGCACCTCTTTCTTTTCACTAATGTGTTCTTCTCACACTCCCCTGGTTGCGTTCATTAGCGATTAGCCTTTCTTAAGTAATCACCGCTCTGTCACGACTAACAAACAAGCAGGCAATTTCAATACAATATCAGAACATAGAAAATATTGAGTTCTGTATCGTGATTGGACGTCTCTTTGTTATCTAGATATCTTAAGCATTATTTCACCCGCCTAGTATTATTAATTCACTGTTAGCACGAGCGGACCAAGTATTTTGTTAATAGATTGCGGGACGATAGATTAGCTGGTGCTTCGTCGCGGACCTTCTGATAGTTATGACCAAGATGAGTTCTCATATCGGGAAAGATTCTACAGCGCCGCACAAGATCGATTTGAAAAGCACCGAGACAGACAGCGAAAACATTGACGATGTCTGCCAATTCCTAAGTTCCAATTTGAAGCGAAAGGCTGAGGGAAAGTGCAACTCACCTACGAGTTCTAAAGGGAGCCACAGCGATCGCGACTCGGATTACGAGGACTCAAACAGCGAACCACAAGGTAGGCCTGCTTGAGCTTTTATAATGTCCAAGTGAAGTGACCACTTTTGGAAACTTTGTCAATTTGTCTAAACAACGTACTTCCCTTCCTAAGAAAACCTAAACAACTTCTTTTCTTTTGTGTTGGGCAGATGACTGTAACGACGGTTCACCAGGGAAGAAGAAGCATAGACGAAACCGAACTACTTTCACGACCTTTCAACTCCACGAACTTGAACGTGCGTTCGAAAAATCGCATTACCCAGATGTGTACACAAGGGAGGAATTGGCACTAAAAATTGACCTTCCCGAAGTTCGAGTACAGGTACAAACGATCTTAATTTGTGTACTTTTTCTATTATCTAGCTTTGTAAATAAATTTCATCAGGAGAACATAATATCACTAGCGCTTTGTTAGCTTTCTAGTTGTTAAAATGATGATGACGCTGGTTTATCATTGTTACCACCGGTTCCGTACCGACTAGGGCCTTGACTGATACGCGAAGCGAATCATTTTAATTTTATCTATTTACCTATTTTATTTTCTTAGGCAAGTGGGGGGAGGGACAAGTTTAGCTACCGTTACAAGCGTGTGTGTAGTTAAACGTCATGGTTTGATAAGGTTATCTCGAAAAGACCTAATCATTATTAAAAGAACATTAACGGAAAAAACAGCCTCATAATGGACAGGAAACTGATTATAATAAAAATAACCTTTGATTCAGAGTTAGAGTTAAAGAACACTTTGGCGATAAAGTTTACTTTTAGATCCTTAATGTCATAATCATTAGAAACAGGCGAGGCTGAGCCGAAAAAAGAAACCGTTCGTTGCATTTTTAATCATTAAATCGCAAACATAGTAAGCAGACAATCTAACTTCGCTCTCTGTAGGTTCTGTTTTGTTTTCTCGTTTTGCCGTACCTCTCTTGTAAAAACCCATTAGTGTGTCAAACGTATTGCGGGTGCTTAGTTCTCCATAATAACTCTCTATAGTTATTGTGACAATAGTAGATCCAATAGAACAACGGGCAGCGTGTGAAATCCATATTCTATGCCCGTCTCAAGAAAAAGTGTTTGCAGAAGGTGTCCAAGACAGAATTAAGTCTAATTAAAGTGCCATTCGGATCCCACCATTTCGACGAGCCATGTTTATAACGTTTTTTCGAGTTTTTTTCCTCCTGAAAATCACTGTAAATGGCTCGGGTACCAAGAGCTTTCTCGAGAATCGTTAAAAAACGATGGGGAAAAGTAGCGGTACTTAGTGGCGCATTAATCATTTCACGAAAAATCGAAGACTGGAAATCCGTTATTTAATGTATATTTTTCCCGTTTCATTGTAAAAGTGTGATTTGCCTTAATTAGGACGCATTATTATCAGTTACGAAGGTCCAGTAAAATTCATTTTCACGCCGTGAGTGAAATACGTGTGTCGCCAAAGCGCCTGTGAGCCCAGCAAAACATGAAGTTCATTTTAATCGAAGTTACTTTGTAAGGTTAATTTCTTTTCTTTATCCTGGTTGTTTCTTTGTTGCATTTGTTTTATTTCCTGTAAATTTTCAATTTAAACCTTATCTTACTCATAATTGGAAGAAGTTTGCAGGCAACTCGGAAGTCAAGGAACAAAGTGATTCATTTTCTCTTCAAAGCTCTCTTTATCTCCAGTATAATTTAGGAAATCTTCATGTAAAGTGCAAAAAATATTTAAAACTGATAAAAGAAGACACTTAAAGACAGCTCTTTTCCGACGCTTTTAAAGATTCAAGTAATTGTCGCCTCACAGCGTTCGTATTGATTATACTCCATATTACGATTTTTTTGATAACAAAACCGGTTAAGTTCTTAATTTATATGCCTACGTAGAATACAAGTGATCACTTTTATCTGTTGAACAACCGACAAGAGTCTAGTGTTCATTGTTTTGTTGTCTTTTTTATCTGTTATACACATTCGCGAACGGTAAACTAATGGTTAGAAAGCTATGTGTACTTGTGTTAAATCTATATCTTAGAACATGCGCTTCCTTTATAGTTTTGTAAGCTATGTTTATAGATGATAACGTCCCCTTTACTCCAGGATTAATGCTTCACTTTAAAACTTTCAAGATTCCATTGTATTATTGGATGAGATTTTGTTTAATCTCTCAGTTTTCCTCTTCGCTTTTACTGAGTTACTGTGAAGATATTGGAATAGTGCTTGAAACGTACTTCTTTCCATTTGTTTTTTGTCTGTGACTGTAATTTTTTTCCTTCAATTTATGTGATGCCCACATTATTTCTCAGGTCTGGTTTCAAAACCGAAGAGCTAAGTGGCGACGACAAGAGAAAATGGAGATGGCCTCCCTTGAAAACCTTCCATCACCGACTCTACCTCGTGCTAATTTCAGTAGTTTACCATTTCCGGACCCATGGAAAAGTTCCTTAACGTATTCCCCAGCCTTTGGCGGAACGTTATACCCTCCAACTACTTGTAACTTGCCGTCATCCCCGACAATGGGATGTTATCCTGGGTCGTATTCCCCTGCTGGTTATGTACCATTCTCGTCGTATTTATCGGGTGTTGGGTGCATGGCTGGAATGTCCCAGGGACCAAGAGACGAGAGAACAACGAGTATTGCGGCTTTGAGAATGAAAGCCAAAGAACATATGGAAAACTCTAGCATCAAAGAGTGGTGTGAGTTGTCCGCAGCTACACAATGACACTCTCAAGAACAGAATTAAATCATTTCCACCCTATCTGGGTAGTAAACTACAAGAATTAAACAAAAATGTATAAATAGAACTTACCCAAATATCTGTAGAAAGAACAAACAAACAAACAGGAACTTTTAAAAGTGCTGCTTGTTTGTGCTACTCTTTTATTAGACTGGTAAAATGTTAATGATTTCAGCTACAAAATTGCACGTTAAGAGAGTTTTCAAAAGAGGAATGTAATGAAGAGCGAGAATTTTACTCATACACTTTCGACGAAGTTGCGACCACGCGCAACTAAAATATTAGACAGGAAACTATTTAGTTTAATTCAGCAACAAGAATTTTAGCAAAATTGTTTTTGAATATTACGCTACGGGTTTAAAATTCTTGAATGCAATGTTGTCCAAGAATAAACATGAAGACCTCCAAAAATTTTTTCGGACAGATAATTGCAAAACTTTACTTCCGATGAAGCGAGGTTCGTTCATTCTTTTGTCATAAATCAGTTCCGTTTTTGAAAAATGGCAATTATTAATGATATAGCATGTCTGAAAAGTTCAATAACTGGTCGGCATTTTCACCCACAAACCTATTTGCACCCAATATCAATCGAATTATTCATTTATGACACATTTAACTGGCATGATGGAGAAAAAGCAAATCGCATGAAAAGTTTGACTATGACTAAGCGCGAAATATTTATTTGATAGCTTTTCAAGGCCGAAATAACGAAGGTATGGGCGAAACAGGAAAAAAAGGTCACAATCTAATTCGCGTTTTCCTTTGGTATCGTCTCCAGTGACTTACAGACTAAATAAATCATTAATTTGTACTATATATTTAAGAGCTTATTTAATTTATATTCATATCGTTTCACTTGAATCAGCTGTTGCAGTTGTAAGTTGGGAAGTAATAATTACTCGCGGTTCGTACGTTTTGTGGGATTTTAGGTCAGTCGTACTTGTTCCCTCTGTTGTATACGCCTGTAGAAGGCACTGCTGTGTTTTAGAATAGTTGTTGCAAATGTTTATTTAGGCATAGTTTAGTGTATCTGGTGTAAATTGAAAGAATAAAAAGCTCTGTACTTTGTGTTTTAGGCAACAGTAACAGAGAGGTTATTAAAGACATAAGTTTTTTTAGTTTATGACTTCTCTAAACCCTTTTTCAGTCTCGTTTTCGAGTGAATTGCTTGTTTCTAAGAGACAACACATGATTTACTGGAATTGTCCATTAACGCACCATCATTGATATTGAAACGTCCCGTTAAACCAAACAAATGAAAAGACGTCACTGAATAATATCAAGGCGGGAATTGCGGGGGAAATCAAACATGTTGCAACCAGCCTTTTGACCACCATTTAAAAAGGCGAGGAAGGGTGTGCATTTTCGTCATTGCAGTTGACGTACTGTGTCCAAGAGTGCCGGCCCACGTACACTGACGTTTTCATGCTTTAAAATACTGAGGAAAAAAAAGTATCGTGCAAGAGAACTGCGTAAGAGAATTTACCGCAATGGTATTTCGGATTTTGTCCACGGTTTCAAATTTTGTGGCCAAATGTTGGAGCGCACAGGCGGTATGACCGCGTTATGACTGATGCGGCTCCACTTGCCAACGCTTCCTGTTAGGGCTTTTCTTTTGGTTATTTGTTTCATGTGCGGTTTTTATGATTAAGTATTCTGTTTAAGAACGTTAACTGAAGTAGCTTGAAACGCCGCTAAAAGACCATCGCCGGCTGTGCCTGTCTGTTGTCTGAAAGGGACGTTTCTCCTTTATTTCTGGCCGGCCTTTTTTTCTCATGAGAGTAAATAGTTTCCTTCAAGGCGCTATTTCACGGTCTAATAAAAAGGTTTTTTGGGTGTTAGATACCTTTTCTTGGTCGTTAAACAGTGATGAGTCATCATTCTCCTTCAGTATAAATCAATTCAAATATATATTTGCCATTTATACTTCATCCTGTTACTTCCTTATTTGATGGATGTTTTTATATCCCTATATAGTATAGTACTATAACAAAAATTACCTACCAAATTGGCAAGGAAAATCTTAAACATCCTTTTGTCCTCGGCCTAAATTGTAATAAAGACCCAAAAAAAATTGCATTAGAGTGAAGTAACTTAGTTACAGAAAGGCTTTCTCAGTGACCTTTTTGCGTTGGAAAACAATAAATGAAGGTGTAAAAGTTAATTTTCTAGTCAAGAGCACATGTTTTGAGTACGTCGTTTTCGCGCGCAGCTATAACGTCAAATAATCACTGCTAAAGAAAGTTGTTTTGTTAAATAAAAACATTTCGATAAATTTCCTCAATCTTGGACTATGGCTCAACTAAAAGTTCAATATTTCAGACAGAGCCGTCAGTGATCGACGCATTTTCGTAATTCTGGCGGGAATTGAAACCACTTCTTTCTTTGCATACTACGATTAACTGATAAAAAGTAATCAGCGGAAGAAATGATAAATTGAAAACTTTAAGTAGAATACACTGACAAACCGAATTACAATTACCATGGAGACAGAAAGCACAAGCACACAATCCCATTTTAATGACATCCCTAAGTTGTTTAAATATAGAATTGTATATCTATATATATATTTTTATTGCTGGCTTGAAAAAATGCAAGAACTGAACTGGCATATGAAAAATTAATCTTAGACCTGATCTTAGACTTCTTGGGGTGAATTGGATTACCCTTGGCAAAAGTCAGACTCAACTTAGTCTTGTTCGTCGATCCAACTGTATTTACTTATGCGATGAATGAGTTTGATAATGTCTCAATATATTTAAAGAGCTGTGTTGACATAAACGTCCATTCTAAACAAGCCGTTTCTAGTTAACAGTTTGCACGTTACTGGAATTTCCATTTATGCTGGATTAGGACGGCTAGTGTTCCTTCAGATATTTGAAAAAAATTTAACGTTAATGCGAAGACGTTAAGTTTTTGTATTTATTGTGCTTAATTGGTGATTATTATGTAAAGGGAGATTGAAGTGCAAATTATCGTAAAACAACTAACGTGTTAAAATCTTAACAAATGTATTCACCGGTTAACTGAGTTTAAATAAAATTTCAAAAATAAAGCAATGCAGTTACGAAACCATTTGATTCCTCAGTGTTATTTTTTGAATATATAAGTGAGTCTTTGAGAGAGATTAAAACGTTTGTACCTTATTAATTTCGCGATTTTGGTGAGATAGTATTTCGAGAGGTTTTATTTTCGCGATTTCAACAGCCAAATATGAAAAAGGGGCATTAAATTTCGCGATTTCGCATTCTTGACTTCATTTTAGATTTCAAAAAATCTGAACATATTACTTGGCTTCACACTAGAAGCTAGTAAGTTTGTTTCAAGTAAGCACTTGATTCAAGTGCGCTTGGAAATCTTAAGTTGCTCTGTAGAAAACATGGCTTCACAATTGTTGACAAAGTATATCACTTGAAGGAAAAGTTGTCAATTTCTCCGTTCATTAGAATCTTTGAACCGCTGCACGTGCACATCGTGACATGGCTTCCTTTTCTTATTGGTCAAGTGTGTTCTCAAGTGTTGTGTTGTCCATACTTGGCGGCGAACTTCGGCTTCTTTGAACCACGAACGTTTCCATGGTCACCAAGTAAAGATGACGGAGGTACATTTTACCCCTTCACACTCAAAGTAGGTTCCAAGTACACTTAGATTATACTTAAAGCTGTAGTGTGAAGCTAACAATTAAAAATTTCTAGATAAACTGGAAAAAGCAATGTGTGAAATCTTTGCAAATTAACGTTATTTTACAACTGAAGATAGCAGTGTACCGGGTATACAAATGAAAACATAAATTACATTCCGCTTCGCATTACAATTGTCAGTTCACAATATAGGTGTTTAGTGGTTATCTATTTGAAAAATGAAAGATTATATATAGATATTTATACCATAAAAACTGCATAAATAATAATAGCAAGAGCCCAAGAGGTCTGAAAGTCTGAAATATTTGAAACTAGAAACATCCTGAAAGCTCTCTACTGTCTGTTTAATTTCTACGAAACAGGCGTTAGCTTTTAGTAACCCTACTAGAATAGTTCGTTAACATTTCTAGTTTTCTCTTGTCAAGTAGTATCTTTGAAAAACGTCAAATGCTTTTTTGTTTTTCGCTTGAAACGCATTTTAAATGTCACTCTCATTTGTACTGAGAGTACAAAACATTCTAACTGCTAAGTGAGAGCACTTTGTTTGCTATCATTAACGGCTCCTATCTACGAAAGGTCGCGAATTTTTCTTTTCTATAGAGTTTTTAAAGCGACAATCAGGTGAAATGTGGCCTCAGTTAGTGATGTTAAAGAAAGAAATATATTTCGTGAAGAGAAGGGGCTAAGCTTGCACCTTGACTACCTAAAAGGACATGGCCCTGTTTACCCTGGTGAGGGTTACCCTAGCAAGAGGCCTCTTGCTGGGGTAACCCTCACCAGGGTTACCCAGAGGGTTACCTTAGCAGTCGCATATTTCTTCGTTTTTCACACGACGTGTTTACAAGGCAGGTATGGTTACCCTAGCGCTAGGATAACCCTACCTGAGTGCTAGGGTCACCCTAGAAAGAGGGTTATCCTACCTGCCTTGTAAACGCACTACTAGGGATAACTCGACTACCCGGGTCAACTTTCCGCCGTCATGCGTGACTAGTAATCGTGCCAATTTGAGCGGTATTTATCCAATTTCTGAGCTTAATTATAATCATCTGAAAAATGATAAAAAGTTATTTTCTGTCTACGATGATAATATTTTCCCTTTTCTTCGTGAATGTAACGTGTTTTCCCTAGAAAACTTCAAGATTATTTCAAATTTTAGACCAATAACAAAGAATGTCACGCATAACGAAACACGTCAGCAAAGCTGGTAAAGTTGACCTGGGTGATAGGGTAAACCCTACCTGTAAAAATTACTTGTAAACCAGGCTAACTTTAACCCGCTTGCTAGGGTAACCCTAGCACAAGGGTAACCCTCTCTCCTTGTAATCAGGCCCTAAAAAGACGCGC